GGGGGAGTAGTGGCAAGACATTGCTGGAGAAAAAGTAACAAATGGAAAATCTGAATGATGACTTAGGCTAAAAATATCAATGGAGAAAGCTAAACAAAATTAAATGTATGCGTATGGCACAACGCACTCATGTTTAACACATCCGACGTTTGGCTCCACCTTGGGAGAAGCAGCCTGTGAGTATCAGTATTTTCCCTCGGGTGGGAATACCAAGGGGCAGAGCAGCACACAAGAGGGGAGATCTGTAAACTTTCCCCTCAGACTCTTCCAGTTCCAATTAATCGCTAATTCAAAAGCAAGAGTGATAACAAATTGCTTTTATATATTTCTATAAATATTGAAATACTTGAGATTCTGTTCTGCTTGGTATAGACATGCAATTCACTGGCAACAAAATTGGACCTTTTGATTAGTTGACAGGTCGTAGATAATGGAGAAAGCTGCTGCTGTTCTACATGCTCTTAAAACCATACCCATCTTAGGCCATCTGAAAACATCCCTGCTTGACAAAGCAGAGTTCCTGGGTCAAAGATATTTTTTCATATATTAATTATATGCCAATGCAACATAACAAAGAAGTTGTGCCTGCTTTTGAGTGATCCACTTGGTTGGGTTAGTGCATGCTGGTGGCTTACCTTCTGCTAACAGGTTTTTGAATTGAGGTTAGTGGTGAACAGACCAGAAGAAATAAATTATATCAAATATGCCAGGATGATGTGGCTCATACTGGAAGGGAGGAAGCAGGTAAAAGTATTTGATTGATGCATGTTGAGTTTTTAGTTGCTAGCTGAATGGAGCACTTCTAAGCACATCCCACAGGTTTTCATATTATCTCAGTGTCTGGCCTCACTTTTGCATGGGGACTATTGTGCTTGCACAACTACCAGAAGCTTCTTTCTTCTCAAGGCAAGATAAGACCAATACGAGGGCCTGAAATACGCTTCCCTCAGTGTCTGAAATACACCATGTGTGTAGCACAGAGGTTTTGCACCAAGTGATGTTTCAGCAGTAGACATTGATCAGGCTTTTGGTCTTTTCCAATCCTGCTTACTCAGCAGCCAGTCCTAAGAGGTTGTAGCTGCAGGCAAGGGGAGGCATTAGTGTTTGATATGGCAGGAAGCAGACAACAAGAAGGGGAAAATACAGGTTGAGTATCAGGAAAATTGTCATCAGTAAGGGCTGGTGAGTGCTCAGATGACTGACACAACTCCCTGAAGGGTGCAGGATGGCAGTGCAGAAGGGCTCAGACAGCAAAGGTAAGTCAGTCTTCCTTCTCTGAAACCTCTACTGAGGACAGCCTGAGCTCTAGTGCTCGCTGCACTGCTTTAGACAGCTTAGTTACTGCAGCCACAGATAAGTCCCTGCAAAAGCACCAAAGGATTGTCCCTTCTAAGAGGAGTTACTGGGCATTGCCTTCAGCAACCACTTCTTGGCTGCTGTAGTACTGGGGACTTGGCTCAGAGGTGGCTGAGGTGAAGAGGCACTTGTAGGAGTTGGGCTGTGAGCAAGAGTCTGGTCTGTGTTAGGTTTTTGTGATTGACCGTAGCTGGGTGGTGGTGATGACTCTCGGCCTTTCCCATTGGGACTGATAAATATTGGTGGGAACACCTATGGGTGCAGCAGGATGTTTTCATTCCCACAGTAACTCTAGTGAGTTCAAGTTGTCAGGAGGCTCTAACCTTGATGGCATAACCCATGTAGTGTTGGGGGAATATTTTCCAAAGGGAAAGTCGTTGGGCATCTCTGTACTGTCACAGCAAAGAATTGCAGGACGAGAGCAAGGGTTAAAGCCCTGAGTAAAACAGCACAGGAGCCCACCCAGAGAGGTGTAACTGCACAGCTCTTCTCCTGCAGTGCATGCACAAGTATGTATGTGTACATCTCTGAAATTCACTGCTGCCTAATTTCCCTTCATCAAAATATCAACTGATTTCTAGTGCCAAGGAACCTAATCATCTATTTATTAAAATGAGACAGACAATAAGTTTGTGTGGGGAAACGTTGAGGCAGTGCACATTGATCATGCTGATTTAGGACTGTACTGCCATCGCGCCGTTTCTGGAGACAAATTCTTTGCAGCTAATTGCATTGTAAATTCCGCTAAACCATTTTCATAAGGTATTTCCCTAAGATATAAGCCCTCCATCGAAAATAAAACCAAAAAGAGCAAAGGAGCAGTTGTGGGGTTTTTTCCTAATTAAATGTTATATGAAAGTAAGATAAGAGATAGAGAAAAAAATGCAAATCATGTTAATTAAATGCTAAATCTACTGTAAGGGGCTAGTTTTAAACATCACGGGACAAGTTGAAACTCGTACAGATTTTCCAACTGAAAGCCAAAAAAGTAGAGTCCTGAGGTTCTTGTCCTCAGATCAAGATGGTCCTGAGTGATCTCAAGTCAGGATTTTGACGTCACCATATTTCAGATGTGGTAATCTTGCATTGTGAATCTTAACCATCCCCAGAAGTGACCTGGATGCTGGACTGCCTTCCAGAGAGTCCAGGAAGCGCGGCAGTGGGAACCAGCCTCTTTGTCCTTCTGTGGCAGCCTGTGGCCATGAGGTTACACTGCCTGCAGCGGGTATCCTGGGCTAGGGGCACTGATAGGAAATCGCAGTCATCTTGCACAGCCAATATGAACACCTGTGTTGTTCACCAGAGAGCACTTCCTCCAAATGCTTCGTGGTAGTAGTCAGCAAAGTGCAATTTTACAGGGGACCTCAATCGTTTTTATCAAGCTGGGTCAGAAGACACTGAAGCAGAGAGCAGATAATTGGATTTCCCAGGGAAACGTAGCAAGCAGCGGAGGACTGAGTCTGGCTTCCTTGTTTCCCTAGGCTCCAGCACAAAGCAGCAGTCTGTTGCCTACACTATTTTAATATTTCTTTGGGTGACTGGAAGCAAAGCATGACATTTCTTTTCTTCCTTCCATATTGAAGGGCACAAATTCTCATTCCGTGGAAATATTCATCACTTTGAGTGTGCCTATACAAATTCTGACCCTGGTTCCTACAATTGATGTGCTGTGAGCATGTTTTAGAGCCCAGGCAGGGAGAGATGGCCGTCAGACCAAGAGGAGGCCGGGTCTCCTCTGGTTTTCATGTAGGAGATGTTTCAGGTAGTGCTCATTTCAAAAAAAGTTACCCAGTAGTTCAGCAACTGGGAAATTTCTTTGCCAGGGTACTTTTGCCATAGGAAAGCATTTCCTGCTAACGTCTTGTATGAAACTGGGAGTCGCAGCTCCCAGTGTAGCTGTAGTTGTCAGTGTGCTATCAGATTAAGAGAAAGCATTTTCTTTTCTTCCTCCTCCTCTCCCCCTCCCCATGCTTAAATTTACTCAATTATAAAGAAATTGGGAGATAAATGTACTGCCTGTGGTCGTCTTTGAGCCTAGGGGTGGCCTAGGGATCATTGCAGTGGTCACAGTTGGGATGTGGCTAAGCCCCAGCTGTGCCACGGGCACGTGTACAAGATGAGACTCTGCTCACCTAATTGTAGCCTCCTAAAAGCTGAGCACCCACTGCTGGCTGGTCACCCCACTGCTGCCAGAGCTGGGGGGGACAGGGGCTCCCCCAGAAGACAATTTTCATCTGCACCTGCCTTGACGCAGAAAGGAGACTTCTCGCCTTGCTAATGGAGCCCCAATGCCTCAAGTTTAGGTGGCTGAAGTTAGATGGGTCAAGTAAAGCTAATAGAGCTGGTTGTTTCATGAGCTTGAGAACTGGTTAATTAATTTTTGTCTTGCCCTGAACTGGGTCGGCTGTGAGCTGTTTGTCTCAAGGGGGAACTGAGGTGAAGTGGTTCCACCAGGAGTATTGGATTGTGGCAAAACCATTAGGTTCCAGGACTGGTTGTCTCATTAGACCTCTCCGTCTCTCTGCTCCAGACAGAAGAGACGCTCATACCTTCTTTAAAGGTGCTGTGCCCTGATCATGAGGATGCTGTAGCAAACACGACTAGTGTTGAGTCCCAAATCAGAGTGAGTTCCCTGCATGACAACCGTTAAAGGTGCACGTAGGAGCGACATAGGCCAGAAATATATATAAGAAATTTAAGCCAGGGGTTAGTTGAAAAAAACTGTCACAAATGTTGCTCAGCCAAATTCACAGAAATCAGATGACTATAAAGATAAAGGAGAAAGCTTCATTAAATTATTGCATCCTCCCAAAATGGGATTTTATCCTTGTGCGTAGGTAACGGCTGGCATAGCAATGGGCTTTCATCTGGAGAAAGGGGGACATCTGCTTGCTGACGGGAAGAGTTATAGCAATTCTTGCAAAAAGCAAAGAAGGGAGGGAAGCGGGGAGGGAGAAAAACCCCATTTCTAGATTTTTATGGTAAAACGGGCATTTGTGGTTCTCATTTTTATGTTGTTGTTGCCAAAAATTGTTACGTGGTTGTTAAAATTTTTTTAAGTCATTTTAGCTTTTCCAAAAGTGACCATAATTTATTACTTATACTGTAGCTTACAGAAGTGACACACTTAATATCGGGGGGTCCAAACCTGGATATCTACCAATGGAGATGGAGATCAGGTAAATGCACACCTGCTCTTCCAAAGAGAAAAAGCTGCCGTTTGGCAACTGGTTTGAGAGGGAGCTGCAGGCTGTAACATGAGCATTTTGGAAGAGATTAGATTGAGCGCTGCCATTAATCACCAAGTTTCATGTAGGCCCAGCATGGTTTTGTGTGACAATGATGTTCAGACAACACATCATCTACCAGGAGACTCCAGGTCCCTGGAGAAGGCTCTGGGTTCTGGCCCTAGCAGTATCTGAGCACAGGTCCACCGAAGGGGACCTGGCAGGAGCTGTGGTCCCCCACAGATCCCCATAGTGAGTACAATGTACTGTCTTACTCTCCCAGCTGGAGGGAAGGCGGTGGTGGCTGCTACAGAGACCGTGATGGAGAAGGCAAGTGAGAGGGAGGTGTCTGCAGGTAGATAAGAGTAATTATGTCACACCAGTACCATGCTTGTCATTTCCTTTTCTCTTTTACAGACACTTAACAAGAACAATTTGATACCGGATGACAGGACCAACTTCTACCCGTTGCAGCAAACCAACGTGTACACAACAACCTATTATCCCAGTACACTGAATAAATATGACTACAGGCCCGAGGCCTCCCCTGGAAGGACCTTTGCCAACAGCTGATGATGGACAGATCATACAGGACTGGATCACTTCCTATACGAATTTTTTTTTAATTGATTTTATGGACCAAATACTGGTCCAGCCTCTAGATGTAAATATTGTACAGTAGGATCTTTTTTTTCCTTTGGTTAATTGTATTTCTTGTAAACAGCACATCTCCTTACAAGGACAAAAATGCATATGGACCATTCTGCAGAGCTTTTGTGGATATTTGGCTAGAGATGGCTCTTACTACTGGAACTGTTTGTGGCTGGAAGATCAGCATTGCTGTCCAAGGCCGACGTTTTCAAGGAGGTGGTTGTGTGCTGGGCTTATTGGCCACCACGCAGCAGCACGGGTGCACTCTAAGCAAGGCAAGAGGTGGCCTCCTGGGGCAGGGGTGTCCGTCTGGTGAGGAGCATCCTTTCCAAGACAGGGTAGCAGTGGTGCACTGGATGACACGCAGCTCATGAGACAGGACAAGTGAGGACTGCATCATGCCAACAACTTGAAGAACGTTTTCTTTTTCTTTTCCTTTTTTTTTCTTTTTGATTTTTTTTTTTTATGTTTCTGGAAAAAAAAAAAAAAAGACTTTCTAGGGCAGTGTTCCCTGTATCTTCAACAGAATCTTTTCATATTACAGGAAATACTCTCTGCAGCCTTCTTTGGTAATATGCAGTTCAGATGATGAGAAACAACACACAAACAAAGTGCATTACTCAAAGAAGCTTTCCAGAATGTTTCCAGTCTTAATTAAAAGAAAATTATACAGGCAGTGAGACACTTTTCTCAAAGTAAATGTTGGAATAACATCGGAGACATGAACTTGGAGTGCCTAACAATCAAAGATGTTTATATCACTGGAAAAAAACATGTGATGATTGCCGCGCAAGAGCCATGGGCTTTTTTTTCTTTCTTTCTTGTTCTTTTTTTTTTTTTTTTTCTGAGACAGTGTTAACTCTTTTTGTTCTAGCTTTGATCCTGATTGCATCTGCCAGGAAAGGCAACTTTAGAGGTCATGCTCTTCTTGTGGGAAATCACCATGCTTTGGGCTAATTTTCCCTCTTGTTTTACTGTTAGTTTTTAGTTCATTTAGTTTCAAAGAGTGAATAATTCTGACTTTGCAGGGGGAGAGTATTTTTATAAGGAATGTTTCCATAGTCTGACATGACCCAGAAAGTCTGCTGCACATTCTTATAGCGTCTTCCAGTCAGTACTCTATGAGATAGTAACACAGCTGAGTAATGTGTGTTGTTTGCCAATATTTCTTTAATTTTTCTGAACAAAAACAACCCAACAAACAAATGCTGCTGCAGCTATTGAAGTAAATTGGGGTGGTAGCATTATGAAACAATATATCCAGCCTTGAAATGTAATTTTATGTATGTGTGTGACTGTGTCTGTAAGAACTGTATTAGTTTGATGCAGATGCCATGTTGTCTACAACCAGATGTTTGTCTGACATAATTGTTTGGCAAAAAGGAAACTTATTGCTGGTGCTTAATGTACAGTTACATCCAATGTGTTAGCAACGTGAACAAGTTCACCGCTGTTATCATTCAGTGTTTCTAAATATTTATAATGAACTCCTGATGCTAAGGATTTTAGAATGTCACAATACTGAGCATGAGATAAAAGTACACCCCGAAACACGCATGAGCTCCACGTAGTCCTGAGCTTGGCTTTGTCGTCTGCATCTTACTCGAGCAATTGCCATGCCCGCGCTCGGCCATTGCCTCAGCCGTGCTCCCAGCGGTCCCGTTTGTCTTTGCTTTATTTCAGATTTCGCTGTAAGCCGGCACCAGTCGTTTGTCAGTGCTGTTCCTTTGCAGTTGCTTGTTTGGAAGCCCAGCTTGGGCTGTGTGCTCAGCTCTTTCACGTAGGCAGCTGGTAGGGAGATGAAGAAAGACTGTATTGCTCTTGACAAGTATATTGCTTTTCCTGCGAGGAAAAGCCAACATGGCTCTGTAAGGCTGTGTTATGGTGGTTTGACCAGAAGGCAAGAATAAAGTAGCCTCCCATTTTTAAATTACTTTGTTCAACTTCAGTTTGCAGTGATTGAAGGCTGTAGGGATATTTGTAATAAAGTGGGGTCATTAGCACTGCCACGAGGACACCTTAGGCTCAATGGTGCCCATCACTTTCAGCAGCTGTTTTTCTAATTTGGCAGCTCATCCTGATTCTGCTCTGATCCCACCAGGTGAAATAGAGGGAACAAAGGAAGAGAGAGAAAGAGAGAGAGGTGCCCATAAATAGATGTACTTGCATTTGAAGCAGTCAGGAGCTGATGCAGACCTTGAAGCTCTGTCTGAAGCAGCCTGCTGCCACTCTTGAAGCAGGCACGGTGGCTTGGTGGTCTCAACCCCCCCTGGAAGCATGGTCAGGGTGAGAGCAGCAGGAGTGAAGCAGGATCACCAGGGAAGCAGGAGAGTACTGGTAGCAGGTGCCTGCACCTGCAGAGGGGCTCCTCCTAGGCCCCTAAACCTCATTTGAGGAGCAATGCCTTTGTACCTTGTGCTGTAACAAGTTCACCCCATCTCACTGAAGTTGTGTCCCCCTCAGCAACACTGAAGATCCTCACTTAAAAGTAGTTCTGACCAGTATGTAGCCCAGGGGTTGAAAATTATTAGATTAGGCTATCAGGATGGGATTTTCCAGCTCTAATTTATATGATTCAGAAGAAAACATTGGCTGTCAAGATCACTCTAGCCATTGTAAAATTAAAGCCATCTCAGAGCTTCCCCATCAGAAGATGCCCTCTATTGACATGTTCTGCAGTTACTGTGCGTGTGGCAGGGTTGCAGCTGGGGTTTGGAGTGAATGCGAGCACGTCAAAATTGTAATTATTATAGTTTTCTATTTTTTCTTTCTTCTTCTTCCACCCCCACTTAAATATTTTTCCATTTTCAGCTTCACAAAAATAACTTGATATAAACTGAATTTTTTCCCCGAAGTGCTACATAGCAGCTGAAATTATTTAAATGTTCAGCTCACCAAGATAGGTCATTACTGCCATTGCGCCCAGGAGGTGGATGCTTTGTAGGCTATTGAAGGGCAGATGCTTCAAGGGTGGTGCATGTGGTTATGGTTTCATTGAGACATTCCTTCTTACCAGCCATCCAAAAGGATTCAGCCCTTTTTCATATAATTGGCAATCACAGCAAGGGTCTGTAGACTCCATTCAAGCAGAAAGTAGAATCCAAGAGAGGGCGAAAGAAAGAAATCAGACCGCTTATTACTCAATTAGTGTTTGCATGAGGGTGCAGTTCTGTAAGGACAATGTTAATGCGGTGTGAGGGGTGCGTTTTGTATGAGCTCTCTAATGCGTAGCAGGTTAATGACACCAGGGACAGTGAGCTTCTTAAGATCCAGGTAATTCAGCAGCTTGGTCATCAGGTCTGTAATATCTGTAGCAGCCTGAATTGCTCCTGCAGCTGGATGTTAAACTTGTTAAAATTTCCTGTTCCTAAGGCCATCTTGCAGTACACTGGGAATGCATTTACTTCCAGAGCGTTGCTTTCCAAAAGACTCATCTTGCTGTATGTATTTTTTTTTTCTTTCACTTCTAAGACAGAGAAGGGGAACCCTGGGCAGTTCCTGTGTTGATCTGGAGACACGGGTTTTCTGCAAACCCTTTGGATGGGATTCAGGTATACTGTATGTAAAATATGATGGAAATGTTACAGCCAAGTATGTAGCGGAAGCATCTTTAGTTAGACCATTCTTCTGTCTTTTCCCATGGAAGTGGCTGCCTTTGTCCCTCCAGAAGGGATGTGCCTTACGGCGTTATCCAGGCTGTGTTGTGCAGTTGCTGTCAGGCTTTACTTGATCAGCTGCCACTCACCACAAATAACTCATGCAGCTCACTAATAGATGAACCACTTGACGATAAAACCACGGTGTCAGAGGTGCTGTTGCTGTAAAGGTGCACTTGAATGTTCAGCATATGAGCTAGGGCTGCTCTTAAATATATGAACTGTACAGATACTATAGGAGTAAAATATGTGTTGTCTTACCACCACTGTTCCTAATGCCTTACGTTCAGAAAAATGAGATGGTCGGTTTGAAATCAACAGAGATTGGAGGAACAGAGTCCGTGTCCGTTGCAGACAGTTTGACGCCTCCAGTGTTAATCTGATGTTAAGCCCACCTGGAGAGAAAATTGCTGTCCACTGAGATTGATTTATTCTTTGTACCAAATGTAGTGGGGAGAGAGTTATATATATATAAATATATATATATATATAAAAATGTAAATGTAAAGTTTGTGTAACAACTTACTCTTTTTTTTTTGTAATAGTGTATACATCTATCAGTGGATAGATACAGTATATATTTATAATATATACACACACAGTATATATATTTAGCAAAAATGCCTGCAGAGGGAACTTAGAATAAGAAAGGCAGTACTGGTATTCAAATTCCGCAGGGACAAAGTGAAGAAAAAAGCCTGTAAAAATCTAGTGTTGTTTCCATTAGGTTTAAAAAAAACACTTTTGAGGTAAATTAAATATAATTTTTTAATTGAAAATAAAATTGATTTTTCTAGTTAGAAATACTGAGTCTCCCTAAATCATTCTGGTTAAGAATGATTAAGAAAAATATTCTTGTTACTGCTTATATTTTCTGAATAAGCCTCCCAAATCTCTCATGTGTATCACTCTATTGTTTTTGTAATTATAAGTAGGGAGTAATTGTGCAAAGAAAATTAAAATAGCGAGTAGGAGTAACAAATATTGTACCATTAGAGGACAAGACATCATCTATTAGAACGTGAAAAATGTCATCTTCCATGTTAAAGAAGTTAGCAACTGCTTTCTGAGTTACTGATCGGCATTATAAGCCTTGCCTTATAGTCACACTAGGAGGTTTCAGTACAAAATTTAGGGAAGAGAAACCCTGCAAACCCATAGCTTTTGCTCTCAGAGGGATCCAAAAAAGCCCCCAGGCCCTGGGAGTCAGGCACCTGATGCCCTGGGTGTCTCTGGAGCGTCCAGCGTTCACAGTCGGGGCTCTCC